ATAAGTTTGGGGTGCTGGCGACTGAAACCAGATCACTGGTGGCTGTCAGCTGGAGAGGGGTGTTATCCCAGGTGGATGGCGACCTGGTCAGCTCTGCTGCAGCATGTTCCTTAGTATTCATTTCTCTCCACTCCTGTTCACTTTTTTCAGTCCTTTGTCAAAAGACAGTGAAGGATTGGCCTTTTCTCCCCCATGCTGATACAGGTAAAGGCAGAGACTGATGGTGCCAGCCTTAATTCCCCAAAGAAAAGGGGATCCAGATTTATGTGAATACCTTTAGTTCTGAAACAAGAAAAGATGAAACAGGTTGCATTCATGTATTCATGAAGCAGGCAGTGTGGGTATGGGCGAATTCTGTACGAATTCACTTATTGTTCCATCCCTCTTATTTCTGAAGACCCTGTGCTCATTTTCCCTCAATAATGTAAAAGCAGTTTTAGCACAACTGAGTTTTCAGATTTAAAGCGAGGTATCTACAGTTCAAAAATGCCCTTTGTGTGTGTGTTTTTGTGTGCAAATAGTTGATTAGAAGATCAGTGTGATTCCACTGGGAGCAAAAGTTTTTCCTGTTATGAGATTTTTTTTTTTTATCAGTAAAATTAAAGGACGTCTTCCAGCGAGGAGAATTGTGGTCACGGGTCAGAATTTTGACATCTTGATAAAGATGGTGAGCTGCGACAAGAAGCCAATTTTCCTTTCTTGGTCTGTATCACTTGTCTTGCTTTTCCACTGATAGGTGTTCTATCTTTGATAGCTGGAATGACAACTTTTATGGGGACTTGGAAAAAACTGGATCTAGGAACAGTGGTCCTCAAATGTTTGTATGTCCATAAATCACTCAGGGTACTTGCTAAAAAAAGAAGCAGATTGTGATTCAGTAGGCCTGGTATGCGGCCCAGGAATCTGTAATTTATACAAGTAGCCCAAGTGATTCTGAAATGAGGCCACACTCTGAGACGTATTGGTCTAGGACAAGCGTGGGCAAACTATAGCCTGTGGTCGAAATCTAGCCTATTGCCTGTTTCTATAAATGAAGTTTTATTGGGGGCTGGCCCTGTGGCCAAGTGGTTAAGTTCACACGCTTCGCTTTGGCGGCCCAGGGTTTCACTGGTTCGGATCCTGGGCGCGGACATGGCACCACTCATCAGGCTGTGTTGAGATGGTGTCCCACATAGCACAACCAGAAGGACCCACAACTAGAATATATAACTATGTGCTAGGGGGCTTTGGGGAGAAGAAGAAGAAAAAAGGAAGATTGGTAACAGATGTTAGCTCAGGTGCCAATCTTTAAAAAAAAAAAGTTTTATTGGAACTCAGCCACCTACATTTGTTTTTCTGTTGTCTATGGATACTTTTACACTGTGATGGTAGAGTCGAGTAGTTGCGACAGGGACTATACGGCCCACAAAGCTTAAAATATTTACTATCTGGACATTTACAGGAAAAATTTGCTGACCTCTGGTCTAGGATAAGGGAAAATTTTCAACTTTTTGATGCAAGTCAATGTATATATACACACATGTGTTTATAATATATGTATATATGTGTATGTGTGTATATGTATGTATTATATACACACAGACACATACACACACATATATACATGTGTATGATATTTTAAGTGCCTGGTATTAGTTTACCTATATGAAAAGTACATACAAGGGTGGATGATTTGCTTCAGGGGCTAGAGGTTGAAGGTGGTGTTGTCTCAGTAATTTAACAGGAGAAGTGTAATACAGAAGTTAGTAGTGTCATCTCTGTGTTACACAGTGATCCAAGAACTGGCTCCATTACATATTGGACTTGTGACCTTGGACAAGTAGCTTTAGCTCTCTGATCCTCAGTTTCCTAGTCTGTGAAAAGAGGGTGACAGTAGTACGTACTCGGGATTGTGAGGATTAAAAAAGATAATGAATGTGAAGTGCGTGGTATTTTGTCTAGCACATATCACGTACTCTGTGAATGTTGGCTCTTAGAATCATTGACATCCTCACCAGTGTTGTGTGCTGCTACTGAGTAGCAGGGTATTAAGGTCAACAGATTTTGCTACTGTGCCTGTTTCAGCCCACTGGGCTGACAATGTGGGCCAAACTTCAGGACTCTGGATAGCCCAGCCCCTGAATCTTTCGATTCTGAACCAGGCATTTTTGGAGGCATGATCTTCTTTTATTAAAAGTCATTCCAATTTTCCCCTTGAATATGCAATTTCAAGGAGGTGCTCATATCTTTGGAAGTGGTTATTCCAATCTCCTTTAAAAATATTGCTGGATTGTAGCCATGAAACCCCATTCCCCATCAAAAGTTCCATCAAACAACAGGTAATAAATGGTAAATTAAGATAAGGATTGAGAAGAACCTGTGTACTTTGTTATGCTTTCTTCAATCTAGGGTGAATCACTGATGGTGGATATGATACAAGTGCACATTTTCAGTGCAATTGTGAAAAGATTTGCCTATAATCCAATGGCTATTTTGTTTTTGCTCTGCTTATTAACTATGGCTAAGTGGTTACAAAAAACAAATGAAAACACAAGATTCAGGTTAAACACTATCTTTGTCCTATTTAGAGGAGAGGTTGAATTTATCCTTAAGTAAGGAAAGAACAAATAAAATATCATCATCATCATCACAAATGTCTCCTGTACCTGCTGAATGCAGGGCTACGTGTGGGTCTCTGGGCACACCCCTGTGCCTTTACTGTAAGTAAGTGATTCTCAGTGGGGACAATGTTGCCTCCTCACCGGAGACATTTTTGGTTGTCACAACTTGGGAGGGGGGGAAATGCTACAGGCATCTAGTGAATAGAGGCCAAAGATACTGCTAAACATCCTGTAGTGCAGTGGACAGCATCACCCTGCCCCCACCAGAGAATTATCTGGTCCAACATGACAATAGTGTTGCTGTTGAGAAACTCTGATCTCAGGAGGGAAATCTAGGTCCTCCATTTCCTGGAGCAGCTCCTGGCATTGGTACCAAGTGATCAGTGATTATAGCCCATTGATTGCCTTGAGCTCCCCCTCCAAAATCTTCTTCCTCCCTTGCAGTCTTCCTGTCATTGACTAGTTTGATATCCCAGAAAGTATACTTCCCAATTAAAAACAGTTTATAAAGTAAAATGTATTCACCTGGGGGAAGGTTATAACAGAGAAGAAAGGATTCAATCATGATATGGTCCGTAAGTTTTTTGAAGGTCAATGAGTCTTTACCTTTGTGGTCATCCAGTCTCACATACCACAGTGATTCATGGTGATTTCAAGTGCCTGACATGAAACATTATCTTAATTTTAACCGTTGCGTATTTACTTTAACACATTATAATATGTATTCTAATTATTTAAATATTATAATATATTACAATAAGAACACAGCTATTAAAAGTAAAAAGAAAATGTTAATAGTATTTAATAAATATTAATTAGAAAAATACAATTGACATTAAAAGTTTGTTCTAAATGTTAATTTTAGTAAAGATTTAAATTTTAAAAAGTGAGTTCTTGTAAGAAGAAATATCAGGTAACACTTTAATGGCACAGGATATGGCAAAACAACAAAGGTGACATTAAATTTTCTGAGATCTGGGGAACTCTGATGTAGTCCACCCCCCTTGTTTTACACGTGAGGGTAGTATTAATAGTGATTTAGAAAGTGCTGTCCCACTTATCTATTACTGTGAAATGAAACACCCCAATGCTTAGGGACTTGTTCATTTTGCTCATGAATCTACAATCTGGGCAGGGCTTCATGAGGACAGCTCATCTCTGCTCCTCTCAGCGTCAGTTGGGATGGCCAGATCGCTTGGGGCTGGAATCCTCTAAATGCTCGCTCACTCACATATCTGGTGGTTGATGCTGGCTGTCAGTTAGAACCTCAGCAGGGGCTGTGGTCGGAACGTCTACATATGGCCTCTCCACGTGGTGTTTGGCTTGCTCACAACATGGTGGCTAGAGCCCCAAGGGTGACCATCCAAGACAGAAGAACAGGCAGAAGCTGTTTCACCTTTCATCACTTGGCCTCAGGTGTCATGCAGCATCACTTCGATCACAGTCATAGGGAGTGGAGACATAAACCCCACTTCTCAGTGGAGAAGTGTCAATGTTACATGGTTAGAATAACATGTGAGATGGGATATATTGTTGCCACCATCTTGGCAAAAAACACTCTATTGTAAGCACCGTAGCATATATATGGTATATTTAAATTCTTGAAACAATTTTGTGTGAATCCTTTTATCACCCTCCCCACCCCTGCTGTTTTCCAGATTACAAAATTGAGGCTCAGAGATCTTAAGTGACCTGCCCGTTAACACTTAGCTAGTTTATGGCTAAAACAGAGTTAAAGCAATTTTGGGGTCCAGAAAAGCAATCTTCACCAGGTTGTCAAGTTCCTAAGAGTTCTTCTCACCTTCTCTCTCATCCTCTCACCAGGGCTATTGCCTTCCTTCCACCTGGGACCATTCATTGAGCAATCCTAGAAGGGGCCAAATACAGAAACAAAGATCCGTGTCACTGCCTCCCCCAAATGTCATCAAATGCTGAGACACTTTCGTGAGAGGCTATTTACTATGTTTTGTTCAGCCAAGCAACTTAATTTCTTTTCGACACTAAGACTGAAGGTCAAAATGAGTTTCCTGGTCAGCTTAATGCAGAGATAATTGTGTTGACCACATTTTATTGAGTCTTTAAAACATTTTTCAGTTTTTAATTGTGAAATATTTCATATAAAACACAAAAATAATACTCATTACCTACCACCTGGCTTTGACAGATCTTTGCCATATTTATTGTTTCACTTTGAAAGACAGGACATTTTGCGAATATCCAAATCCTCTCTCTCTCTCTCCCTAGAGGTAACCACTGTTCTAATTTTGTTTATATCATTTCCAAGGATGTTTTCATTCTTGCTTCAAATATATATCAGGAAATAATATATTCTTTTAAATATATATAAATTCCTACATTTTGTTAAATATTATAGTTTTGAGATTTTTTGATGTTTAAACTTTAGGAAATAATTTATTCCGTTATTTTATCTGCTGTATACTGTTCCACTGAGTGAAAAATTAGTTTATTCATTCCTGTTAGTTTGTTTCTACTTTTGTTTGTTTGGTGGTTTTCTTTGCTGTGATGAGCCTGCTGGAGTAAACATCCTTATTATGTGCCTTCCAGAGCATGTGCAACTATTTCTCTAGAATTGATCACTTGAAATAGGATAGGCACATCTTCCTGTTATAGGAATTGCCAAATGTCCCTTAAATTTCTTCACTTAATTATATATCACAGTTCTAATTTCTCTGCTTTCCTTGCTGACATTTGGTGTTATCAGCATACTTATTTTTTTAACAAATGTGATGGGATTAAGATGACAATTTTGTATTGTTTTAATGTGCTTTTCTGTGATTACTAGTGAGTTTGAACATCTTTTCATAAATTTACTGCTCATTTGAAGTTCTTGCATTAATTGCCTGTTTATTTCCTCTGCCCACTTTTTTCTATTGTTTCTTTTTCTTATAAATATGTAGGAATTCTGTACATGTTCTGATCAGAATACATGCAATTATACGTGTGGAAAATAGCTCCATCTGCTCTATGGACTGTCTTTTCTCTGTGTTCCTTGTGTGTTTTATCATTCAGAAATTTTAAATTTTAGTACAACCAAAATTATCAGCCTTTTCCTTTATTGTTTGTGCCTTTTCTGTCTCAAGAAATTCTTCCCTACTGGGATGTTAGAAAGATATTTTCCCATGTTTGATTCTTCAAATTGGCTGATTTTGCCTTCTCATGTTTAAATATTTAATCTATGTGCAATTATTTTTTTCCATTTTGGGAGAAAGTAGCCTAATTTTCTGTTTTTCTAAGTGGATGGTTTATTGTCCTGGCAGCATTTGTTGAAAAGTCCATCATTTCTCCCATCGATTTGCAATGAAGCTCTGTCATATCCCAGGTTCCAATATGTTTATGATACTGTTCCAAGTTTTCCATGTCTATCTCTATGATGATATTAGATGGTTGTAATTAGTGTAACTTTATAATAGACTTTGCTATCTGGTGAGGGGAGACCCCTTCCATTGTTAATTCTTCTTTCTAAAAATTGCCTTGACTATTCTTGACTTTTTGTTTCCACGTGATTTTTAATATCAACTTGTCGACTGCTAGGAAATGCCCTGCTGTGGGTTTTGATGGATATTGTATTTAGTTCATAGATTGTTTTAAGGTGAATTTTCATCTTGAAATAAAGTTTCGCTGTCCTTGAAAAAAGTGTAGCATTCCATGTATTCAAGTCTTTCATTGAGCCTTCAGGCCTCTATCTTCTGACACCTGTGTGTGGGAATCAGTCAAATACGCTTTTCTGGAAGTGCACGCTGGCTCCTGCCATCCTCCTCTATCTCCTGAGCTCAGTGAAAGCCTGCTGTGTCAATGGTGATGATGGAGCAGCTCTGATAGCCATGGTAGCAGGCACTATGGATATGAGGATTCCTGCCCACCATTCTTGTCAGCCCATTGGTTGCTGGAATCCAGCTGCTATGATGGCAGCAGGGTAGAGAGGAGGAATTGGAGGCTGAGACCCAGGCATCAGGTCTGAGGAAGAGGCTGGGAGCTCCAGTCATTGGGAGTGTACAGTTATTTCCTGGGCTCAGTTGCTATATATCTGTGGTTTGGGACATAGTTTCTGAACTAAGCTGCTTGAGTTCACTTCCCATCTCTACCTCTTACTAGCCTGAGAACATTGCTTAGCTTATTCATATTTCATTTCTTCCTTTGTTAAATAGTGAACTTCATGGGGTTGTTCTGAGGAGTAAAAGAAGTAATATCAGTAAAGATCTGAGAATAGTGCTCTGCTCATTGGGGGTTACCTGCTGCTCCAGCATCACCATTAGTATTGTTATTATTATTACTGTATTGAACCATCTTGGATTCAAGCTGGTATTTTCTTATGTGTGTTTTCTCTTGAAATGAGCTTCCTGGGACATACTCCGTCTAACCTATTGGAGGTTGATGGTGTCCATTAGCACATTCAAGGTTCTTAAAATACTTGAGGTAAAAAAACTGTTTAATCTTATTTAAGCCAATATTTCCCAAATCCACCTGTCCATTGAACTCTTCTTTTGTCCAAAGAGTACCTATTAACATCAGTGTAATTAGTATTCCGTAGAAGACCATTTCAGGAACAGTCTTTAGGGCATTACTTGTAAAAATTATCTTTATTTTGACATATATTACAGAAAGACATCCCAAGAAGATAATTCTTCATGGTGGGGTTTGAAAACAGAGGTTAGCTGAAGAACAGAGATTGATGTTAGTAGGCAGTCTCCGATCAGTACAGTATATCCTCTAAGTATATCAAAAGCCATATCATAAATTCGCCCAACAGCTCCCACTGATGACAAACATAGTCACATAACTTATGCCATTAAAAAAAAGAATGGCATAAGTTTGTGTTTGTTTATTTTAAAGTAGAAATGTCGCATATTTGGTATCTATCTGACTGCCTGGTGCAGAGGGAAAATGTGATTCATTTTGTAGAAGCCCCATTGGACTTTATCCTAAAGGCAAGGAGGCCAGTTATTGGTATTAATCATAGTTCATTTACTGCTTGTTTTTGTTTCTTCAAAGAACTCAAGTTGTAATTAGGAATGGCATTTTGGGAATGTTGGGAATGCTACTGGGATATAGTCTGACTCCCCCACCCACCCCTCATATGTATATTGTTATTTCCTTAGCCATATTCTCCACCAACAGCCTGTGAAAATGTTGACTAGTTAATTGTTCTGAATCAAGAACACAATGCCTGGGCAAAGTGCCGAGGAGGCGGCTCCATGCTGCCACCTCCCCTGTCACTGTCCTGTCACTGCTCTTGCTACTCTTAGCTGAGCTGAAGCAGAAGTGGATTATACTAGTGTTTGATCCAAATAATTAGCTTTTTATCATGAAAAGCAAAGCAGAACTAATTGTGGACACTGTTTCCTTTCCTTTTGATTCTCAAAAGAGCTTTTCTTAGGATAACTTCCCCCAACCCCTTTTGCCTCTCTCCTTTTTCCCCATGTGGCACTTCTTATTGCATTAAGATGGCACCTCATTGTGGGCCATGGATGAGTCTGAAAGCTGCTGGGGCCAGGACCTGGTAGAGAAGGTCTAACCAACCAGAGAACTAGAACTGAGGACTAAACTCTCTGGTCAGGTCATTGGTCTTCTCAATTATTCATTATTAATTCTCCATCATACAGATTCTTCCCATTAAAGTGTTTTATCAGATAAAGTGAGCAGTAAAATCCAGATGATTTGCTGATAAACTGTAAGACCTCCAGTTCACGTATGTTAGAATAACATGCCTAGTTTTCATTCTATGTCCTTCTAGAATCTTAAAAACAATCATTTTACAGCCTTGGTTTCCATGGCTTGTATTTATTTCTTTCAACACACTCATGCCGAGTAAGATGTCTTGGGTTAACTTGAACTAGGAACATTTTGTTGTTTTACAGTTTTATGAATGAAGTTTTATAGATGTTTTTGTCTCATACATTCTTTTCAAAGAAACTTCATATATTTACTTAAAAATCTATGAATTACTCAGAAATCAAGTGAAAGTAATAACTCTGGCTTATCTGTCAGAGCTATATTTTTATGGGACTTAATCACCACTGTATTTAAACAGAAACATTAAAATACAAAAAGAGGCTTGTTTTCATTAAAAAAGAAAAAAACTGGTAACACTTGCAATATGTAAACATTGTTGGCTGGTAAATTATAATCAGATTGCTATTGGATTACACATTACATTGTGCTAATGCTAAAAGACCGATTCCCAGTGATGTCATTACAGGCTCTGAGCAGACAGGATCTATTACTATTAAAGAATGCTGTGCTAACAATTTGCAACAGACCAAGGAGTAATTTAACTGGGGTAGGATTGGCTAGAACTGTAAATAGGCATTTCTTTTTATTGAGAAAAACTTTCAAATGTTAGATTTTAACTCTGGGACCAGATTCATTAGACACGGACTATTTTATTTAGACAGCATCTGTGATGCTGCCAAATTCGTTTCCCTGTGTATAGTTGACTTTACCATAGGGTTAAGTGAAGGAGAGGTGGAGGCTTGCAGAAGCGTTTTTCTCTTTGCGCCTCTGTTTTCACTGCAGATAAAATAGAAAGTGAATGGTCGTGTAAATGGTTTTTAAAGCAGATGCGTTTTATTTTATACTGTTTTTTACCCCAGAGAGACAGTATGCATCTCTGATCCTAATACGTCCGCTAGTGGGCGCTGCAGCGCTTCCAACTTTCTGTATATTTTTATCTGGGCACAGTATTCAAAAATCACATAGTGAATGGCGAGTTTCCCTTAAGAGCTACTGTCCTGTCAAGAAAGACAACAAAAATACATTTGGAAGATTACATCTACTGAAATTATTTACTAAAATTTTAGAACAGAATAATGTGCTTGAGATTGCTACTCAGTTTTTGCTGGCATTCATTTGTGTTTGTGAATTGTCACATTTATTCTTGTTTGATAGGCTTATATGTTGAAGCCCATATTATGTGGAAAAGAAAAGGTACGAATGCCATAGCACAAATTAACAATATTTATTAGGAGAAAATCCTGCCTTTTTCTATTAAAGAAAAACATTTAACATGTTCAGTTTATGTAATTTTTAGTATGAAGCAGTGCAGTTGTGGCTAAGATGTCTATTTGATATTTAGGGAAGAATTTGATGCTTTAATAAGGGAATCCTCTGTCTCCCTCATCCATCATCCGCCATCCTCATCCATCCAAACACCACTGTAAATTTGTCAGAGCCTTTTCCATATTCAGTACTTGTATAAATAATGGCTGCTGTGATTTGAAAAAAGGGAAATGTGCACTTTCTGGCTATGTTATATATCTGATCACAGTCATGGCAACATCTCATAGTTTTTGTTTAGCATTGCTCAGCCTCAGTGCCTATAATTTAAGCTCCAGAGCCAAAGGACATTTTTGTGTGTTGACCCTTATTGTGGTTAGTACTTGCCAAAAGGAGATCAGTTTAGGGGGCTTTTCTATACCAGACGAAACAGCCTCTGCTCCATTACTATGCTTTTATCATTGCCCATCACCTCTCCTTCTCTCCTTTGCTATCTTAGGGATTATGCAGGTTCTCTGCAATATTCTGAAATTAATCAAAGGAAGCAAAACCCCATGCCTTATTATCCATCACAGAAAGAGAGTGGTTTCCACAATCCAGACCGCTTTGTGATGTTGTCCAGTTGTGTAACTAGAATTTTATTATCTTACAGAAAAAGGTTTTGGTTTTCACACAATGAAACCTTTTCATGTTAAACTCGTATGAGCAATGGACCCCTCCATGTGAGTGTGACAAAGGGTCTGAATTTAACTGATAGGCATTTCCCTTATTTAAATAAGGAAGTGATCTGTGAACAATGTCCATTTCTTTCTTTGATTTTTAGCTTAGCAGAACAGCTGTATGTCCTTAATGCAGTTTGGATCATGGAAGCTTTCTATGCAATGAGATAGCAGCAAACTTACAGGATACTTATCCAGTCTGGACCTTGTATTCTATCTCATCTCTGTATAATCATGCTCTACAAATTATTTTTTTCCACTAAATTAGTGGCCATTGTACAGATTGCAGACACTTAGTTTGATTGAAAGTAATAAAAGGAGATTATCCACTGGGTTGGTTGAGTGAAGGTTCTGATTTGACCCACTGCCTGGAGAGAAAAGAATTAATCTTATAAACCTGACTCACTTCTGCCATGCTTTGAAAAACTGCCAGGAATGCATTAGATCCCTTTTGTCTTAAGTCCAGTGAGAGCTAAAGATGGAGTGGGACAGATCCAATGTATGAACCAAATAGACGGTGGCCCGCGTGTTATGCTCTGAGTGGTGTCTTCAGCTGTGGTGAGGGCTTTCTTTTGCTCCCTGAGTAAATTCCAATCACAACAATCTTTGAATTTGAGGAGGAGGAGGAAGAGAACGGTTTTCATTTATTAAGTATGTTCTTTGTGCCACGGACTGTTTTAGATTCTAAGTTTAGAATCTAAGTGTATTTAGATTATATATGTTTTTGTATCGAAACCTCATGAAACAGAATATTATTTTGCCAACTTTATGGGCATAAAAGTAGGTACAAAGAGGTAAAGTGCAAGATCCTACAGCTGATAGTAGACGCTTTGAGATTGTAATTCAAGTTTTATTTTTACCCCGCAAAGCACTTTCTTGTAAACGCTATACTCACCTCCGTTCTCCAAGATAGCAGAGGTGAGACGTTAATTCTAGGAGACCAGAGTGAGATCTTGCAACACGTCCAACTTCAGGCTGGCACAGCGAGGCATTCAGAAAAAATGAATGAATAAAGAAGTACATCACTGATGTTGAGGGGAGAACATTTGTCTTTCTAGGAGATAGGATGGGGAATTGCAAAGGGCACAGGCTTTGGAGCCAGCCAGACCTGGGTGTAAGCATCCCAAGTCTTCCCTTTGTTGTCACTGGGAGCACAGCAATAACCTCTCTGAGCCTCTGCTTCTGTGTCCACAACATACCGTATAGGTTGTGGAGAGTGGGGAAAGACGGCCTGGTGAGTGTTGGATGGCAGATACTAGCATGGAGGTCTGTCAACAGATTGATGGACTGCCTTGGTTGGGAGGTTGGAGGTTGGGGATGCTATTTTGGCACCAGAAGGAAGGCAGAGGGAGCTTCCCATAGGTCATATTAGAATCTTAAGGCACCTAATTCAAATGGAAAATCCCAGTTTAGAGGTAATGAATAGTAGGATTCAAACCTGCCTCAATAACATTTGAACCCTAAAAAGACAACCCTTCCCCCAGAGCTATTTTCAGGATACCCTTTAGGCAAAATGGCTGTGTCAACTCTGATCATTATTTTAGTTGTGTAATTTCCAATGAGCATCTGGAACATGCTTCTTCCTGTTCATGGAAGCAGCCATGGTTTCACAGGAGAGGCACCCAGGAGGGCCTCTCACATCCACTTCTCTCTTCTTTGTATTTCGATTTCTGTCCTGTTTTAGCAATAAGAGTGAGAGAGATTGAGAGAAAACAAAGAAACATTGTGCTCAAAATAGTTCCTTTCCCTCAAGTTCTTCAGGTCATTCTGTTCGTCTGAGGGTGTTTTCCTTTGATCTTTTGTTGTTGATGGTTGCAATCTATATTCCCAAAGTTGCCCCTTTTATTAATCTTGAGATCTGGTAAGATAGAATGAAGGAGGGAAGAAGAAAGAGTAAGAGAAAAGGAGGTCAGGAGGATAAACGTCGTGGAATCAGGCTGGCAGGCCATGAGAGGACAGCCCTTGCTCTGCAGGTCAGAGTGCTAAGGGCTGCTCTGTGAGCTGAACCACAGACGTGGCTGTGGGACCTATCGAAGCCTGGTGCTCATGTGTGTTATGGGGTGTGTGTGTGTGTGTGTGTGTGTATGTGTGCATGCATGTGCACGTGTGCATGCTCCAGACTTCAACAAGCCTCTTCCTGCTGTCCCTGTATTTAGGTCTTTATTACCCACTAGCAGAATAGAATGATGCTATTATATTATCTTGTCTACCTGGTTCCAAAGACAGTAGTACTAGTCTTAAATCTTTCAGGTTGTTATTCAGGTAATTTCAACCTAAAGAAAACCAGTCCTCCACTGTTTCTCTGGCAGGGAGAGAATGTGCTGTCTCTCTAACCCAAAGCTTTAGATATAAGTGAACTGGCAACTTGGAGGCCAGGTCAAGGACTGAGTCTGTTTTTCTTTTTCTTGTCAGTCTAAAAGGTTTTTGTCTAGTGTCTGGACAAAACCTGAAGGGGTCAGGATTATGGGTGGAGGTAGCGATTCAGTGCCCTCTTGATTTCTGATCACTGGGGCCACTGGGGCTGCCCCTTCCTGTCCCTGTGCTGGCCTCTTGGAGTGAGTGTGTGATGGGAACTCTCTGTAGAGCCCCTTGGGCGTCTGGTTAGGGTTTGGCCTGACAGCTGCAGAGCACTCTTGTTGCATGAAAACCTCATCTGATTCTCCCATTCTTTTCCCTGCTGAAGGAAGGAATTTGACAAAGGAGGCCTGAGTAGGGAGTCCCTGGAGTCAGGCTGTGGTCCTCTCTCCGGTTCCCTCTTGCCTTTGTCTGAGCCAGAGTCAGGCTCCTGGTCTGCAAGTTGTTCTGCAGATGGCGCAGCAGCAGCCGCCCAGCTGGGCTGATTTAACCCACAGAGTGTTTGTGTTTGTGTTTGACAGCCAAGACGGGGAGCTGGAAAACTGTTTTCATTGGGATCAGCCTCAGTTGTTTCTCCAAAAGCAGTTGGTTGAACGGCTGCGTTCTTTCTGGAGCCATTATGCCACGAGGTGAGTTTGGATGAAGGACAGATGTGTTATCTAGGAAGGAATCTTGGTTCTTCTTCCAAAGAATGTTCAGTCATTGCCTGTGCCAACAAATGAAGCTACTCTCCAGTGTTCTGTTTATGTAGAGTCTATTTCTGGGGGAGAAAAAAACCCTATGACGCTAATCCTCCTTTGCTCTCAAGCAAGTAAGTAGCAAGTGTAAGTGAATATCCATTTTATAGGTGAAGAAGGAGAGGCACTGAGAGTAAATAGATCAGTGCTTCTCAAACTGGCATTTGTGTATGAAGTGCCTACGGATCTTGTTATAAATGCAGATTTTGATTCCATAATCTGGAGAGGAGACCTGAGAACCTGTCTTTCTAACATTTTCCATGGCGTTACAGATGCTGCTTGTCTGTGACCCATACTGTGAGTTTCAAAGATGTGACTTACCTAGGCATGCGGTGAGTTAGTGAGCACCTTACTAGATAAGGCTACTTGCGTATGTCCCCAGGAGGCAAACCAATATAGCCTTCTAATAAAGACTGCATCTAGATTATTTCGAAATAGTTAGTTGAAATATGAAACACACCACTTACTGGATGTTGTGACCATAGGGCATAAAACAACCAGATTGACAGGTTTGGTTTTTAGCGGAATTACCTAGTTAGCCTAGTTTTATGCAGCCATAAATATAGGCTACCTTAGATAAGACAGCCATAAGAAATTGTATCCAAGCATCAGAAATTCAGAAGTGCTTAGAACGGAAGGCAACTGCCAGCTTATGAATTCAAGTTTCATTCCAACTAAAGCCCTTAAATTGTGTGTGTGTGTGTGTGCGTGCGCGTGTGCGCATGGTGCATAAGTAAGTCCAATGTTACTCTGTTTCTAACTGTGCTCCTGTAGTCTATTTCCTTATAACATGTTATCAAGGCAGAGCTGGCCTCTGTAAAAGACAATCTTTCCCATGTGTGGCTACTCACAAGGATTGCACAATTTGTTGATGACTCACACATCTGTGTGGAAGGATACGCTACTGCCCCCAGCTGCAGTAGTTTATGCCTTTCTCCCCTCCAGAATATGATTACCCAGAAGTATGTAATAGTCATTTAATGGGGAGCAGGTGTAAGAAGAAATGCAGCAATTTTCAACAAAAGGAATGGATGCAAATTGCAGCATGAAGGATTTAGGTTAGACATCCACATGTGGGGAAAATTCTCTTCTGCCAGTAAGAGCAGTGAAACATTGGAACATAGGCTCAAAGCAGAGTTGTGGCACAGTCTCAGGGCAATTGAAAGAAAAGGTCACATGGTTTTATTTCAGTGCTTTCTATACAGCTCCTCTCAGAGGGAGGTAAATGAATTCTGCAATTGCTGGAGATCACTTCAGTTGTGTGATTCATGAGAGATGAATTCTGGGGACATCTGATTACAAACCATGTCAAAGAGCCACATATTCTGGAGATCCTTTTTGATCATCCTAATTGATACCAGGATGTCATTTTTTGGCATGGGGGCAGGAATCCAACAAGTATTTAAGACCAGTTTCATGTAATGTATTTTTCTTTGGATGATTTTCACCTACACCTTCAATGATAATAAAAATTGTCTTCCCTAAGGGCTCATGAGATATTGTAAGTAGAGTATCACCTGGAATACTCAAGGGATCCAAGGGTTATCAGATATTCTTTCTCCCAGTATTATTTGGAATCTTCCAAATTTTAATAGTCTATACAATTCTCCTTCATTTTCCTTTATAATTGGAATTTCGACGAGGGATGCCTAGAGGCATTGACTTTCCTCCCTCTGAATGATTTGGTGCACTAGGCAACAACAAAGGATGTCCATACATTGGTCCAAAATTGCCACTCTGCTATCATTTTTGGCATAATACCATATTAAAACCCATGTCTCTGGAGAGAGTGACAGTGCCTGAAAATAATGGAGATTAAACTTTCCCAGCTTTTCGGAGGATCCTGAAAATAAAATGCTATGTGTCTTCTAAGTGACTAATGGTACCTTCTTATATGCAGCATCATAAGACATTGTACGCGCGCACACACACACACACGTGCACAATCACATAAAGATGAGAAATGGGCATTTGAGTGTCTAGTGAATATTTTCTGGGTCCATTATATATGGGGTCAGCAGCACTGTACATTCAATAAAATTCACAGCAGGCAAATAGGAACGTGGAGAAATTCTGCAGATCTTTTGGAGCCAGATAACTCAAACATCAAGAAGGTGAGCAAATTTGCAGTTTTTGAAAGCAAGAATTAGGAAGGTGGAAAAAGAAGATGGGGGAAGCTGTTAGTGGGGAATGACAGGCCTATATTTTAAAGATTACTGTGTGGGGGGATTTATGGTGCTTGGATTCCATACCTTTCTCTTCTGTTATCTTTATCCCAATCACAGAATCTAACCCTCATTGAGCTGACCCATCAATCAGGCAGCGTCTGGACGAGAAAACCAAATTCTGTGGTGGTGTTTTTGGTATTAAATCCAAGTTAGCTAAAGCTAAGCCAACACAACAATTCATTCTCATCAGCTTGTCAGATTACTAGACCAATGAGAGTAATTAGTATTTTGAAAGAAAAGAAATGGAAGCTTTGTCCCTAGAACAATTTTTTTATTCCACAAAGTTCTAGAAATTTGGATTTCATGGATCATTAAATTTCAAAATTTTGCCAATCAAAATGCTTCCAGGAAAGTATTTCCACATTGAAAAAGAAAACTGAACAAACAAATAGAAAACAAAATAACCAACTATCACTTACTATAACCATCATATCATAACAGAAAAGACATTTGAACACTGAAAGTGTGGGAATGAGATATTCCCAGAATAAAGGATCTCCTGTGTGTTAAATAAATTTATCTTATGACAACTAAGTGAAGACCAGTGAAAATTTCATCATGGACCAACACTGGCCAACTGATTGGGATTTGGGAACCACTTCTGCAAAAACCAGCTGCTTGTTGAGAAGTCGATCTGCTTGAAGGGATGGGGGGACTTCTGGGGGCACCTTGGACTTTGGCTGTTGGTGATCGTCACTGATGAGATAAAAAGGCCATAAAAATAAAAAACATTGGAATATTTATTTAAAAATATCTTCATAAATGAAAACACATTATTTTGACTCAGGCTTGAGGAATTTCCCAATACCCAATTAATTTTTTCATTTCCCCAAGATTTGGTAATTTTGTGGCCTTTAAAATATAGAAAGATATGAAACCTGCTTTTTCGAAGAAAACACACTATGTCTAATTAAACTCTGCTCTGTGTTCCATTGTTGCAAACGTGAGATGACTTAACAATTTCACTGCAGAAACTTGTACGTCATAATATCTGAAACAAGAAATCTTCCTATTACAGTTATATAACTTTTAGTATTAACTATTAACTCCTCTTACTATTATGTTATACGTAAAGCTTTCTGAACCAGGAAGACTTGGTTGAAAGCAAATGAAATGAACACCAATACTTGAGGATTGAAAACCAATTGCAAATGCCTAGGTTAGTCCAAGCCTTATATACTTACCTCCCGTTTTGTACCTCGCTTGGGTGTAATGGTCCATTTTTTCACCCAGATTTTGTGTTTGGAAACACATGCTGTGGATGAGGTAAGTGTCCCAGGATAAGCTCCCTTTCACCGTTATAACCATTTGGAGCAATTGTGGTACATAAGAACGTCTGGGCCTGACTTGGTAGTAATCACATAGAGTGGTACAGCAGGGGAGACTTGAAGAATACTTATTTTATAGATGAGAGAGGGGTAGGGAAGCATCTGGGGAGGGAGTCAAGTTGAAATGCAGATGTCTGAGAAAGGGTATAACAGGACCCAGAAGTGGAAAATTGAGGAAGATGACAGAGTTGAAAGGTATAACAGTATTTCAGATAAAACTTTACGGATTCCTTCCAGCAGTATGTGGATTGCAGTTGGAACTAAGTCAATGGTTTTGTGTATAATGTGTTCCACAGCCGTTAGGAGATGCCAGATGTGTGTGTGTGTACTATATTCTTTGGATAGACACTGCTAACGAGGGCCTGCACATGGTCACTTACCTATATTTGCAATCAGCTACAGCTTTCAAGGGCCATAAGGGCATCTTCCAGGTTCATTGCAACAGGGGCTCTCCCATTGTGTGCTGTGATGATAACTGTGGCAAAAGAAGATGTTGCTTAAAACATTTGCTTATTTAAATATTATATGGCCATTACACATAGAGAGTCTGCTCCAGTTTTAGGATCCCTGGACACTCTTTTGTCTTTCTTGATTCAACCCTTATAGCATGGACTGCTTTGGCTTGAAGCAAAATTTAAAAGGCCAAGCATCACTGAGTTAACCTTCCATGAGTAAACAATTAGTCTAAAGATCACAGTATAGTCCTTTTATTAAGCTCATTTTTGTTTGCTTTTGGGTTTTTTTGGCCTGCTATACCAAGGCATTCAAGTACTTAGGTCTTTGTAAAACTGTGTCTTTCCTCCACTTGTGTTAATACAGATATTAAGTCTAATAGTATCTACTTAGCATAAACAAGAAGATAAAAATGATTCCTATGATTGAAATGTTTGTTATTTAGCATTAAGCATCTTCCTGCTCCCATGCGTTTTGCATTTTAATCCACTTGGTGCTTGGTTTGGGGATTGCTAGATTAGTTTTAATCCCCTGTCTAATAGTGGAGTAGTCGTGAGATTTATTACACAGGCAGGGTTTGGTTCTTGGATTTAAGAGGGCTCACGTGCACTCTTCATGCATATTAAATTTGGGAAACCACTGGTTCAGTATAAAAGGTTGGGGAGACATGCTTTATCTCAGAATGGTTCTCTTTAGGCACACAAAGTGCAGACAGCATTTATTGCATTAATGAAAAGAAAATTGATTACAAGTGTTTCTCTCTTTTGGGGTCAGACTAACGTTCTCAGAATCTGTTTTGTTTTTGTTTTTTTTTCCTTTTGAAATGTGCTCTACCATCATTTCAAAGCATTCTGGATGTTTTGTTTGGTACTTGCTATGAATA